AAGAGGAATCGTGAATTGTTGAAATGGTTAAATCAAAAGATGAATCATACTTCGTTCCAAAATTGAGTCCTAGAGTAACAGTCCAAGATCGAGCCTTGAGTGACATAATGTTAAGAAGGTTTAAAACACTTATCAAATGTAGAGTAAAATGTTTTCTACTCTTGTACATTTGAAATTGGTGACTTGTGATGTTTTGGATAAAACAAATACCAACTAAGGCCAATTGTGTGAGGTGTTTGTCTTGATAAGAATCCGCACTAACTATTGAATATTTGCTTTGTCAAGGAATGGTTCTTGACAAGAGAATCTTATACGTTAAGAGGTCAGTGGGATTCTTAAAGATCTTGAAAAGTTTCAAGAACTAATCAAGGGTGTTGTTTATCACAACCACACGACTTGAGGTTTGTAACCTATCGTGTTGACATATTCTTGTTTATGTGCCCATTCCAGTTAAAGTTGGCTATGCATGTGAGGTCTATGAGTTCTTAGTTGTTTGCATAACTACTTGGAAGCAATGGTAGACCCTTGTGCTCCCAGGTGGCAAGAAGTCAAGATTGAACAAGTTCAGTCCATATGAGTTTGGAATTGTCACTAACCTCCTCTTGTGGTTATGTTTTTGACAAATTCACATGGATAGGAACACATACACCGTAAAATCAAAGTGTCAAAAGGTTTCTCTTTGATTCATGAAAATGATGGTGAGGAAATGCTTTCACTAAGTAGATTTTAAGCAGATAGAAATTGTGATATTTGCATTCTCAATTTCAATTATGATTACGGAATCCCTTTTCATAATTCGAATTGTGAGCAATGGAAAAGGTCTAAACATTTGAGACTATAATTACGGCATCCCTTTTCATAGTTCTAAAATTGTTTAGACACATATGTGAGTTATCTAAGGAAAGGTGTATGATTTTGGGAAGCTTAGATAAAGTCTTATCGAAGCATCTGGTATCAGAAACCTGAACTTTGGTAATGAAAGTCAATAAAATTTTCATTTCTAGAAGTCCAGATGATTTCTGGAAACATGTCAAAGCTAGTGGGAGCATAAGTGTTATGCTAGTAAAGTAATTATTATGCTAGTGGGAGCATAATTAATTGTGGTAAATGTTGCAAGTTAGCAATGTTAATTATAGAAAACAAAAGTTTCAATTTGCAAAGTTACAGGGTTTGAAAAGTTGTTTTACTATAATTAAGGGAGATGAAGTTATACTTCATTCCAATTCTAAAAGCTTAGATTGAGATTTTAATCAAATTTTGTCAAGTATATATATGAATGTTATGTTGGAATGGTTCAGTCAATGTTGCAGAAATCGGCCTAGGCGGCCAATTAATCGCCGCCTAGGCGCTAGTCGGACGGCCACCAATAAGGTTTATTGCTAATCGGTCTATGTAATCGGGGTTGGTCAAAGTCGGTCCAAGTCGGGGCTAATCGGAGTTAGTCGGAGCTAGGCGGAGCTAGGCGCCTTAATCGGTCAAAGGCGGTCAACGGAAATTCAAGACATTTTAGGGGCAAAATTGTCAAATTGAAATCATTTCTTGCTAGGGTTCGTTCCTTCTTTTATCATTCCATCTCATACTACCAACAAAATTCTCTCTCAGACTCATGAACTAAAACCATGAAATGCCTGCATCTTTTCTTCCAATCACACTGGTATGTCATTGCCTTACAAGCTTGTTGTCTCATTCTCGACACAAATCGGTGCTAGGGTGCGCCGAACATCCGCTCCTTCTCCTCTGACGCCATCAGCTCCTCCAGAATCCCTCATACACCAACCCTCTTAATCTGTGAATGTTAGTTGTCATCCTCAACGATCTGTAAATCCCCAGCACCATCGCCACTCTCACTACCTCTAACAACCCACCATCGAAACTCTAACTATATATCGACTAGATCTAACCACGACACTCACCGACGCTTTCATCTCCACTACTTACATCAAAATTACAGAAAACCTCAAACTTACATCGGTAATTTAGCCCTTATTTTCCTAATTTTTGCTGCAAATGTTTAATCTTTTAGGTAGGAACCTGATTTTCTTTGCTGTTTTAACTTTTAACAAAAACGAAATGAAAGTGATTATTTTTGTATTTTTAGGGAGTTATACGAATTTGATGTTCTTCAATTTTCAAATTTCAGTTTGGGGCTTTTATGGTCTGATTTGAAGTTCGTGCAATGATAATTCACAGATCTGGGTGTATTTGTGTGTGCAGGTATGTTTGTGTGTATTTATGTGTCTAGGTGTGGGTGCAGCTATATGTATTTGAATGTATCTATTTTAATCTCTATGTGCAGATGTATCAGTATGAAGTGGCAAGAACAAGATAATGGAGGACCAAAGAACTTAATTTGTAATTGAATTCGTACATTCAAGGTATATTATTTGTAACATTCTTTCTGTTTTGTTTGATTTGTTCAAAATCTTTGTGTGTCTTTGATATATGATATTATTTAGTTTTTGGTTTTGGTTAACAGATATGAGATTATCAAGGAGATTATCAAGAGGAAGATAGATTTGATTATTTTTTGCTTTAAATTGTATGTTAAATAAAAATAGCTTATTTACTCAATATCTTTTTTGTTTAGGATTTTTAATCAGAATTGTTCATTATGATTTGAAAGTGCATCGATACTATGAAAATTGACAACACTACATTGATACTTTACATGTTAACATGGTGTTGAAAAATGTTTGCGGCTCACCTTTTTACACTTTCCCGCCTTGTTTATTTTGGTTTTTTTTAACAGCAAATACAATATATTCCTAAACTACTCCTAAATCCACCTATGTATCAGACGAGACTTGAACCCTCAACCTCGAGAAGGGAGGGCAACACCTGATACCGTTGGGCTGGAAACCCTTTGTTAAAAGGGGGTGAAACACGAGGACTTCCTATGGGTCACCCATCCTAGTACTACTCTAGCCCAAGCGCGCTTACGTCACACCCCAAAACCAAGAACGGTGGAAACGTTCTGGGGTGGAGGACGTCATGTACGGTATCACAACAATGCATAACAGTAAAGACAAGCAACAACATCCATTGCATTAATATAATAATTGTAATACAAGCGTGTTCTGTATAGTTTGTAAGACACCAAAAGTATAATCAAAATAAAAGATGAGTCTGGTATGTGCTCCATCTTCTCAAAATCTTCATCTGTACCTGTCTACTGATGACCTGAGAATACAAGTTATTTTGAAAGAGTTTATCAGCATAAATCTGGTGAGTTCATAAGTATTTAGTGTCGTTGCGTGTATAAAAATATTTGTAACAATGTAACATAGTAACTGATTTCAAATGTTTGTAAATAGTATGCTCCCTAGAAAACCCTATATTTCCTAGTAAAAAGTAGTCTTCTACCAAGACCCGATTGTTTGTATGTTTGTTCTTTGGTAAATGTAAGGGTTTTTCCCCAGTGAAAACTTTTAGTATGAAAATATAGTTTTAGACTTCACCCTTGTAAGGTGATTTCAAAATAAGCGTAATAGGGGAAATTAATATCTTTCCTCAGCAGTAACACTGCTGGTCGTAAAGTGATAAAATACAGACTCCAGGTAGTACTAAATGTACAGTACACCTCGGGGAGCCTAAAGTAACGAAAATGTAGACTCCAGATGGTATTAAATGAACAATATGCCTCGGAGAGTCTAATTTGCCTTTAATTCTTAATTGGTTAATTAAAGGTGTGAATGTGAACTCGTATGTAACCATGCTAATTGACGGTTGAATAACTGATGACCCTCCAGGTCCTATATAGTGAGGTAACATTCTGTCACCCCTTGGCCTTTCGGCTGGGACTGTAGCTAGCAGTCGGGATGTGGGAGTGTCTGTCCCGTATAGATCTATACACACAATGCCCGCTCTCCCTCCAGGAGACTCTGGTTACACGGTGATACCACTGTGAAGTGTCGTATCGTATGTCACATTCTATTATAGTATTTAATGTTTGTATAGTGTATAGTATGTTCTCTTGTATAGTTTATAGCATGTATTGTTACTCAATGTAGTACTTATGTAGTGACTCATAAATGTACTGACTCTTGTATGGG